CACTTGGTGAGTTCCCTGACACACCGGGGACACATATTCATGTATAAAAGACGTACAAAAGTGCATTTTGCATGATAGGTCACCTTTAAGATAAACCTTTCTAAAAACGGATAAAGGAAGGGTTTTATTTTGATTTCAATACATCTGATGCTGCTTATCTAATCTGGATATTGTACAAGAAGTAGTATTGAAAGAAGTATTTGAATCCTTTACTTAAAAGTACTAAAGCAACGCTAACTTATTAAAAGTACGAAAGTCTTATCAGCAAAATGTACTTAAAATATGAAAAGTAGGTTGTAGTTAAGTTTATTTATCTACATCAATGGATCATATTGTATAAGATCTTCATATTTAATTAGCTTTGATGCTTTTCTGTGAGAATCATGTATTTCTAAAAAAAAATTGTTTATCCAACCGCAAAAGAAAATCCTTTTCAGATTGCATGCAGCCAATTTATGAAAAGAGTTAGAGGGGCCACCCACCATCCCGTCCAGGACTTTGCCAAAAACCACGTGTTTCCCATCCAGCCACGGTGCTTTAGTAGCCAGGATGAAGAACTGCGATCCGTTGGTGTCTGGACCCGCGTTCGCCATACTCACCTGGTACATAAACACACGCACCCACAAAATTCTCAATTCCATACATCACATCATCATTGTTTTGACACATTATGTTTAAATCACCAAGCCATACCTCCCATAAATAAATGACTTTCAGGGTTCTTACGGTCATTCAAAACCTGGAAAAGTCATGGAAATTTAAAATGCTAATTCCAGGCCCTGGAAAAGTTACGAAAAACAATATTTTTCCCAAAGTTTTGGAAAAGTCATTGAAATGTAACTAAAGTTGCATCAGATATAATTTATATTTGATCTAATCGCCAAAATAGTAATACTATAATAATAATACATACTGTATCGAATAGTAATGAAACGTAAAATGGCATTTAACTGACGAGGTATTTTGCTGGTGAGAGATTTTAGCTGCTTTAGCCTGTAGATTCGCTAGTAAGCCTACTACTGGATTTGTTTTAGCACAACATGTTTCATATGCAGACCTTATTTTCCTGTTCCATGTTAAAATAAACCATTTTCAGTGGCACCGCTGAGAAAGAGTAATGTCTTTGGTCATGGAAAATTAGGTAAAGGTCATGGAGAAGTCATGGAAAAGTCATTGAAAATCATTGGTGAAAAAGTGTATGAACCCTAGACTTTACAAAAAGTGTGTTATTACTAAATATTGAGGTCATAAACTGTTAGCTCACCCAGCCTGTTCCCAAATGCTTCAGTTTGAAGTTTTCATCGGCAAAAGTTGTTCCGTAGATGCTGTGACCTGAAGGGAAAAAGCTTTGTCAAGTTCAGGTGGTGTTAAATATTGCATGGAAATGTAAGACAACATAATATTGGCTCCTGGGCCTGTGTGAAGTTAGCAAAAAGGTTCAAATATATACAACTGTAGCTAGTTGGTTCTGTTGTGATTGGTCAACCGCTGAGAGATGTCCTGCCCCTTAGCCTATAATGTACAATGTGTTGGAGCGCTAACAAATGGAAGCGTGACTGTTACATAATGATGTCATTATGTCACGTATGTAAACAAAGGAATCCAATAGAGGCGTTTCAGGCAGGGGAGGGAGTGTGTGGGAGAGAAACACCCTCTGAAGGGAACTTTGGGATTTTTGCCTTTGCAGACTATTTACATGCACAAAAACCTATATAACATACTACAGGAAAGGGAAAGGCCTCTTTAAGAAGTCACTTTGAGTCTCACCTCCAGTTCCATCTCCAGCTGTGAAGTCTCCTCCCTGGATCATGAAGTCCTTGATGACTCTGTGGAACTTTGTCTCTTTGTAGCCATAGCCTTTCTGCAGAGACACGCATGACAAACACAATGACCAACACACATTCACAGAAAGTAGGAACATCACAGCACACACCAGACTCAACAGCAAGAAGAGTATAGAGGAAGTTAACACAAAACTGACATTTAATTTAATCTTTTTTGTCATGTCAAAGGCTTTTTGAGTGAAATCTATGTATAGTAACATACTTAGATATTTCACAGAGTTGAGAATTAAATATATATGCTGCATAAACAAAAGTGACAAGTTGGGAACTTGTCTAAAATATTGCAATGGAATATATGAAACAGTTGTAAAAGTTATGTGTGTGTATGCGTGTGTGTCTGCACGCCTACCTCTCCGGTTGCTAGGGCGACAAAGTTATTGACAGTGAGTGGGACGACCTCCCCAAAAAGGCCAATGACGATCCGCCCCACCTCATGACCTCCGACTGTAATATCAAAAAACACCTACACACACACACACACACACACACACACACACACACACACACACACACACACACACACACACACACACACACACACACACACACACACACACACACACACACACACACACACACACACACACACACACACACACACACACACACACACACACACACACACACACACACACACACACCTGTCAATTAATCAGAGGTGTATTATAAGGCAAACATTGAAATGTTTTTGTTGAATTTTTCTACTCCGACATTTAAAAATAAATGTTAAATATGCAAATGTTTTACTTAGTAACATTAATCTGCAAATTAGACAACGGAAAGCATATTTGATTAAATACTGCACTTATCTAAACATTTTTAAGGTAGTTGTAGGTATTCCTGCTACTTTGTACTTAAACTTCAATACTTACATAAAAGGTGCATGTATGTGATATTTGTGATTAATAACCAAGAAATATAATAAACAAATAAATTATGATAAAATTAAATCAATAACACTTTTATAAATCCCGGGTTGGAACTCATTAGCTAACCAGCTAAATCTAAAGTTCCCTTTGCATGAAAATTACTTTTACTTTTGGCTCTTTTAGTATATTTTTATACTTTTGTATTAGTGACATCTTGAATAAAGAACTTTTATTTGTCACATCACTATTTCTACTTCGGCAAAACATGTTAATTTTGTATTTTGTGAGGACAATTTAATACTTTTCCTTTAGACAGTGAGTGTGCACTCAGTAATATTATTCTCTAATGTTATCTCTATAATCATCATCCTTTCACAATAAAACCATGAGACGACAAGCCAAGGTCAAATGATAAAATGATAACGTTATATACGTATGAATCCATGTAATGCATTAACGTAAGCACTAAGTAAATGTGCTATCGTATACATGCACTGGGTGTGTGCGCGTGCGTGTGTGCGTTTGTACGTGTAGTCGACTATGTGTAACAACGACCTGCAGGCAAACGCACTGCGCATTAAGAGTCGCGTGTGTGTGTGTGTGTGTGTGTGTGTTTCTGTGTGCGTGTGCGCAGACCCGGCGCCAGAACAAATCTACAGAGAGGGCATATGATTTGCATGGGAGGGCACACAAAACCGTCATGCGCCATTTTTTATAATAAAATGAACATTAAGGTGCAGTATTTCGATTAACTGAAATAATCTGTATTTGAACTTTACTAGAACCTAAGCAGCCAGTTTGACATTATGACTTTCTTGTCATTGTATTTTCATGTTTTTTTAAAGAAAAATTAACTTGTCCACATTGCTTGCCGAAAGTGCAGATCTGCTCCACTGCTGTGGAGAACACCCTCTCGCTAGGGACAGAGGTAGCAGATACAGCCAGGTAGCGCTTTGCTAACATGGCAACATAAGGATATTTGGCGTTTGTAATAGCTTTGGCTCGGTCTGAACTTTTTGCGAGTGGTGGAGGCTTAAATGCTAGTGGGAGTTGGGTTAGCACTTCAGTCTTTTTTCTTTTGGTACCGGTGATATTCACGTTCGGGTGATGCCTTTTCAAATGAGTGTGCAAGTTTGATGTATTGCCAGCCGCGTAACCAATTTTAGTTGAACAATGCCGACAAACAGATTTGGTTCGGTCCACCTGTCTTTGTCCGTCATCCTTGTACGTAACTGCGAAACCAAAATGTTCCCAAACCGGAGACTTCAATGATGCTGGAGGATTTTCGAGCTCAACTTTATCTGCGTTCGCCATTTTGTTCCTCAAATTACTGACTAAATTTGAACGCATCCCTGTGACCAGCTCTCATAGTATGCCTCTCGTCCAATGAAATGACTTGGTCGCTCT